GTTTATTCCTGACTCTGCCCAGAGAATCACTCTTTTAGGCCACAGGGTTTGTGTGTTGCAGGAGACAGAAATCAACTCCAGGTTGATCCGTCCAAATGTACGGGTAGGCCCTGCCCACTGTAACATGTCTCTTGCCCCAGTTTGGCCATTATTGAACACAAAATCTGCTCCACTAACCCAGTACCTTGCTCCAGACACATTAACCATCGTTTTATTTAATATGTGGAAGAGTTAGATAGCTTAAAAGCAGGACTGGTATATTCACACAGCTGTGGCCATTTGTTACTGTTACTGTGTCTGGCATATCGATAGGGTTATCAGACAACCAGCAATTACACTTAAAACATGACACAGTGATGGCAATTTTCTACTTATTCTTGCCTGGAGCACAGCCCTGAGAATTTTCTAATCTTGTCTGCTTTAGAAACCCTTTAGACAGTCTCAGAACATTCAATTGATCACCCCGACTTTGGGCTTATTATTAAGGGGACAGTATCCCACTGGATGCCTGGAGGTGTGGAGTTCACCCTGGCACAGCCCCTTGACCACTAGAGGACATTGGACCTGTAGAGAGTTCCCCAAGCCCTATCTTCTCGGACACTTCTAAGAATAACGTAGATGAATTGGCCTTGATTTACTGGTGCCTAATGGCTCCAGACTTGGGACAGAGATATATCTGGTGTCAGCAATATTTCAACCTTGCCTCTGCCACAGAGCATCAAGGAGAGTACTCCAGCAGCTTCTTCCAGTCATAACAATCCCCTGATTCTCTCTGCCACCTGATACTTAGTGCACACAGACATCCTCCCTCAGACTCTATGGACCACTGTTCTCCTAATAAACTGTCATATGACGAAGGGTCTATGGCCCATATGGGCGGCTATGTCTCAGCCATGCTGCACTCATAAACCTTTGAGCATCTACTTCCCAAGACGGACGAACCATCTCCTTGTTCTCAGAGTCCCTGTGGTTATGATATAATTACAGGCCGGGACATGGTAGTCCAAGCATTTGATCAATGGCTTCTTCAAGGGGAACGTTTCCCCAGTCCCATGTAGAAGCTCCTCACTTCATGATGAAACCTCGTCAGGGAAGACAGGGCATGGATCCAACTATCTGGGATTTTTAACTAAACACCTTTGAGAGGAGAGGTTTTTCCTGAGACTCTAGAAAGGGCAGAAACATGTCCCCAGTGTCAACCAAACTATTTCCTTTTTTCCTGTCATTTCGAATGTGAGTTGAGGGTCCTCTACCTAGATGTTGAACACAGGAGCCTGTGTGCCTTGGGCCTCCCCAAAACAGGAAACTGAAAGTCTCCTCCAGGTACTGAGTGAGGGAAACTGAGGTTCTTGTTTGTCCCAGAACACAGAAAGATGGTTAGACCTTGGTCAGGCTAGGAGACTCCCCTACACTTCTGCTCATAAGGGAGCAATTCCTGTCCCAGTGCCCTGCCTGTGTGCATCTGGGACAATCATTCTAAGATCCTGGAACTTGATGCAGGGCCTGAGAGATTAAAACAGGTTTAAGTATTGGAGTTCAGGGAATTGGATGTTGTGGGGATTTAGAGATTGACGTCAGGGTTAAAGACCCTTTCCCCAAAACTCAACTCTGTGGATCAGTTCTCCTATTGTGCTGCTCTTAGTCTTTGTTGCTACCTTGTTATGTATACTTTAAGCTCGATATTATGAGACAGATCATCTATATCTCTCCCTTTTCTGCTGACTGATTCACTCAGCATGACATCATCTAGTTTTTTTTTCTATGTTTCAGAAAGTTGAGTGATTTTTATCTCAGTAAGCATGGTAAGGCTCACAGAGGGTATACAGGATTAGGACTCTTTCCAGATCTTCCTCATGTACGTAAAATTTATGAGTAAAATGTCTTCAGAGCAATGCCCCAGACTTTCTGGATTCAGTTGGAAGTGTGTAACACTAGGAGAGTTGTATAAAATCTCCGAGGGCCGCCAGGGGGTTGCCCCAACTGCTCTTCTCCTGGCCGCCCAGGATTCTGATGGCCTGGGCTGCTCTCCCAGTCGGGTAAGCCCGGGCCATGGGGCAGATGGTGGACAAAGCGAGGGCCAAGCCAATTGAGTGATCAGATGCTGTTTATTCCATTCTCGTCCACGTTCACTCCTGTCTCTCTCCTCTCCCAGGACCCAATCTGGAACTGTTGGTCCTTCTTGCTTTGGCTCTGGCTCTGATCTCCAAGCCCACTCTTACAGTCTAGCTAAATCCCAAAATCATGTGGGCTGGACTTACACATAGGTGTGGTCACACTCGATAGGGTTAAAGTTCTCTCCCTCTGGGGATGCTGCTTCTAAGACAGATTCTCTTTCAGCAGGAATCTCATGGGTGTGTTTCTCCTCTCCTTGTCCAACAAACATATAAGCATTCATAATATTAATAATTTTATGGACACAGTAAGAGATACATTAAGCTTATAGAATTGCTCTCCCGGTGTCATTCTAATCTCAGACTACAGTGCTCAGGGAAGATTAGTCTTTCCTATCCCTAGCAGCATCCTAGTCTCTTTGTTACTTTTGGATCATAACAGCATTTGTCCAAGATCAAACTCTTAACGTATAGTTAAGAACTGTGCCACTTTGTCCAGGCCCATCTCGATGCCAGGGTAGCACATAGCTTACCAGTTGATCTGGTTCCATCCAGTCCCTCCTTGGGACCTTGCTTTGGGGGGTGCTAGAAAGTGAGGGTAACTTAGGCTTAAGTTGAGAAAGCAGATGCCCAGGAATAAGTATTATTTGAAGCCAATTAAATCCCCTGTTACAAAAGCATAATATTAATTGTCTTCATGTGTCTTTACAAAATGACATTGCTTTAAATTAAACTATTCAAAAGACATAAGGAGAGGAGAAAGGCAATATTAACTTACTATACAAGTTCAGTGTCCTAGAACGATCTGGCCTTACAAATGAATAGAAACTGGTTAGGGGAATAAGCTGATTAACTGATTGCGGAAGAGAGCATAGAGAAGTGCTTACAGATAAACAAAAGAATGGGAGTGACTCGGGAGCACTGTCATGAGTGTGACCCGATAAACCTAAGAAACTTGTGACAAGGGAGAAAGGACAAAGCAATGTTATCCTACAGAGAGTGGTTGGTGATTTGAGAACGTGGCATTCCCAGCGTCACTTGGAGCTGTCACTACACACAGAGGACAGTGTGGAGACTGAGAACAGTCTGACACTCCAGAACTGTAGGTGGCAGTTCAGTCACCAAGAAGCCCCATCTAGGCACCTGCTCTGTGCAGAGGTCTGAAGGGTACATTGAAAACAATCCTCGAGGTCTGATTTCTGGACTGCCCTGTCCCTATAATCTGTCTGCGTCTTTCTGCTCTACCACACTGACAATCCAGGCTGGCCCTCAGGTCGGGCCCCTGCTTCTGTGCTCTGCATTGACCTCTGTCAGAACTTTTGCCCATTTTGTGCTCTTTGTGCCTTAAGGAATTGAAGGTCATCCTGATTTGTATGTGGTCAATGTTCTTCTAGGAGAGAGAATGAAAATACTCTTATATCAGATATGAGCATTTTTCCTGTCAATGGGAAGGATTTTACTCATTTTTTGTATATTGACAATTTTAATAAATTTGTAGCAGTTTTCAAAGTACAGGTATGAATATTGGATTTACATAAGAAGTAAAGGTCATAGTCCAACTATGGAAGCACATATATTCCCAGTAATACTGTGGTCTGCATGACCCATAGCCCCTCACGTTGTCAAGCTTTCTGAGGCTTCCCCGTGGACAATGATAGGAGATAGATATGTATGTATATACATATATTTCTGTTTTCCACTCATATAGTCTATACATTTGTGCATGGATATATGATCATGTATATATGTTCTCAATATCAACTGAGAGAAAGTGATACATTGTGATTATTTTTTCCGAGATGGCAAGGCATGCACAAAATTTATGCTTCACTCAATCACTGTCATGGTATCACTTTTATCCCATTGTCCAACAATTTGCTCGAGAGGGGGCCAGTAACGTCTCCATCCATCCCAGCCCTGAGATTTTAGCAGTCTCTCCTTACGCGTCCTTCCCACTGGTACCATATTGGAGGCTCTTTCAGGGTTAGGGGAATAAGACCCGTTATTGTTACTGTTTTTGGCATATAGAATACACCACGGGGAGCTGGCCAGGCTCTGCCGTGTGATGTCTCACTCAATACTATATATTTCCTAGGAATATTGGTCAATTGGTGAGATCTGACCCAGGTAAACTCAGCTGGGATAGATGACCCTGGGGTGGAGGAAGAAGCCCTTGAGGCCTCACTCTAGATCCTGTCTGCTGGTCCTTGCTACTGTCAGCCTTCCTGGGCACAACCCTGACCGTATATCTGTGCTTGGGTAACTACGTTCCCCTGAACTGGGCTCAGATGCTCCCAACATCAGGATTACACAAACCCTGACCCTGACCACTTTCTTACCACTACGTGATAGGAGAAATGTGATCATGGTCCCTTTCACATAGGGTCATCTCCTCAGGAATTATGGAGATACAAACATGCACAGAGGGGCAGGGCTCCATAGAAACTCCAGAACAGGCTTGGGGCCAACAGCAGGATTTTGTCTCAGAGAAAGGCATTTCTTGCAGGGACACAGAATTTAAAACAAAACGTGTAACAATGGTAGTCTGCTATTTGTAGACCTACAGTTCAGGAACCTACAATGATAATAGCCTAAACTTATACATGGTTCTTCCTGTACCATATGGGGAGTTCCAAACAAATTCCTAGGACAAAATATGAATGACATCAGGTGATCTAGAGAGAAGCCATCTTCCTCTTGGCTGTTGCTGAAGGACAGAGAGAGATCCTGAGCTTTTCCCTCAGGTGAAGCCTGGCCCTGTGAGCTCCATTCTGTGTCTCAGACCCTGACTCTCTCAGGAGGAAGTCAGGAGGATCAGCGTCCCTGTCGTCTCCTCACCCGGCACAGCTGCCTCCCCCTCAGTTTTCTGACAAACTCAGGTTGTGGTTGTCACTCTGTGTGTCTTGCACAGTAATACACCGCCATGTCTTCAGTGCTCAACCTGCTCAGTTCCATGTAGGCTGTGTCCTTAGACTTGTCAACAGTGAGTGTGAGTCTGCTCTGGAACTTTTGTGCATAATCTGTACCACCATTGCTAGGATTTATCCATCCCATCCACTTGAGCCCTTGTCCTGGGGCCTGCCGCACCCATCTTATCATGCCGCTGATGAAGGTGTATCCGGACGCCTTGCAGGAGATTTTCACTGATGTCCCAGGTGTTCCCACCTCAGGCCCTGACTGCACCAGCTGTACCTGGGAGTTCACACCTGTGGACAGCAGACAGGAGTGGGTGGACTCCACTTGACTCGCCCCATTCCCTCAACCCAAGCCATGGGGATGCTTACCTGCAGCCATTGCCACCAGGAAGATAATTCTCCAGGTCCAGTCCATGGTGAGGACCATGCACTGAGGGGCTTCTGAAGGTGTGGGTGTGCCTGCTTGCAGTGCAAGCTTGTCAGGACACAAACACATCTGTATTTAATGCAATGTCCCTTCTGCAATTTGCATATTCATGAGGACATAGAATTAATAGCTGCAGGCCTGGTCCAACATGAGAAGGGGCTGGTGGAAGCCACCGGGTCCATCCTCAAGGGTAGTGAAGAGGTCCACGTTCTGATCCTTGTTTGAGGAGATGAGACCCTGCCTTTTCCCAAGACTTTGCACACAGAGCTTACTCTCCGGAGGGCCAAGCCCTTTCAGGACCTTCCCCTCAGGGTCCTCCACACCTGTGTGACCTGAACACATCTGGGCACACCTGGGGTTTGAGGTTATTTCTGGGATCCTGTAACTCCTCAAGGGATGCCACAATGAGACTACAAAACCATCGTAATGCTCCTGTGGTTTCCATTGGAGATATTAAGAAACACCCCCCCCTGCATACAGGTTTTACTGTTTATCAATATGTTAAGTATTTTATCATCAAAATAAATATGCACAATTTCATCTTCTGTGTCCTATACTGATTTTAATTTCGGTTTTTCTGAGAAAGCAAAATTTAGTTTTATTGAAGAAGGAAATCCTGTTTCTGAGAGATTTCTGCATATCTGCACCTATTTCTTTCATCTCTTCACCCATTCTAGCCTTCAACTGGGTACTCTAGGGACTTGGCGCCCCCAGAAGCCCAGTCCCCCTATGCAGGGAGAGACTGGGCTCACAGGTGTGTTAACTTGTCATGTCTCCAACACAGGATTGAATCCTGGCTGTTCACTTCAGGAGACCTGTTCATGAATCATATTTGTATGACCCTTTTGGTTTGGTATTGAGCCACACCAGGCATTCTGAGGACTTACCCCTGGCTTGCACTCAGGAATCACTCAGATCGATGTATCCCTGAGAAAAAAAAAATAACTACTTTATTTTCCAGTAATTATATATATCACTGTATCACTGTGATCCCTTTGTTCATCGAATTACCCTAGCGAGTACCAGTAACATCTCCATTCATCCCTGTCGCATCTAGTGTAAGGTCCTCATTCCCCTGATCCTGACATAACCCCCAATATGCCATTGGACTACACTAGCATACAAGTGTGTGTGTATATATATATATATGTATATATAAAAATTAAAAAGTGACACTGAGTTTTCTTTGCTGAGATTATGTTGATCACTTGATCTCTTGACTTCCCGTTAATCGTCAACTTGCTCGAGCGGGCTCCAGTAACATCTCCATTTGTCCCTGTCGTGTGCTAGTGTATCAATCACATTCATTGATTTAAAGAAGGCCTTTGATATTATGTTAAAGTGATAGAATACATATTTAATTCACTCAAAAATATTAAAAGTCACAATATAAACAAGGAGCTAAATATTTAAGACTTTAAGATAAACAAAAATTATATTAAATTTTCCTTGCTAAGGTGCCATCAGGCTGCTGACGCACTCGCCTCACAGGTACAGATTGACCTGCTGGCGGCACCATACCCCCTACCATAGAATATTTTACAGACATAAATACAGGTCTTGTTATAAACTTTAAGTAATATAAAACATGATTTGGTTCAGAAATTCATTTCTCTGCCACCAAAAAAACCTGCTGGAGCGATAGCACAGTGGTAGGGTGTTCGCCTTACAAGCGGCCAACATGGCCGACCCGAGTTCGATTCCTCCACCCCTCTCGGAGAGCCCGTCAAGCTACCGAGAGTATTCGATATGCCAGACACAGTAATAACAAAGTCTCCAATGGAGACGTTACTGGGCCCGCTCGAGCAAATCGACGATCAACGGGAGGGCCTTTACCTTTGCTAAGAAGATTTTTTCAAAAAGCAAGCCTGAGTCTAACATAGCTTCCAACAAGTTTATTCTATAGTAGTATTTGTGGAGCAAAAAAAGTGAATAAGAAATTCCTAGAATAAAATAAATGAAGTTTTATGGCACATATGACTTGAACTCTGACTTTTTCAGTGACACAAAATAGTATTACTTAAAGAAATGTACTGGGGATGGAGAGATAGCCCAGCGGGTAGGTCGTTTGCCTTGCACACGGCCGACCCAGGTTCGATTCCCAGCATCCCATATGGCCCCCTGAGCATTGCCAGGAGTAACTCCTGAGTGCAGAGCCACGAGTAACCCCTGTGCATCGCCAGGTGAGACCCAAAAAAAGCAAAAAATTAAAATAAAAAATAAAGAAATGTACTTAGAGGAATGAAAGGGGAGAGAAAGAGAAAGCCGTGTTTATGAGAGAACATGGGTTTCTTCAAATGGGAAAGATTCTTGGGTTCTGATTTCTAGTCAGACATGTTAGAAGTATGGAAAACATCTCACCCAGCACATGTGAAAACCTGAACAACTGAAAACCTGAACAAGTGAGATTCACTTTCTGTCTCTCTGTGAATACTAGAAAAAGGAAGATGGAAAAAGTAAAATAGTATTATTAAATAAATATTCTTACAAAAATGAACTGTAGCGATAGCACAGAGGGTAGGGCGTTTTTCTGCACGCAGTCAACATGGGTTCCAATCCTTTTCCCCTCTTGGAGAGCCCAGCAAGCTACTGAGAGTATCCCGCTCAAGCAGTAGAGCCTGGCAAGCTCCCCATGGCGTGTTTGATATTCCAAAACCAGTTACAACAAGTCTCACAATGGAGACATTACGGGTGCCCATTCAAGCAAATTGATGAACAATGGGAGAACAGTGCTACAGTGCTACAAAAATGCAAGGAGGGTGAGAGACAGTGGGGGGAGAGAGAAAGGAACAGACAGACAGAGAGACAGAGATGGCACAGGATTGAGACAGGAAGGACAGTCCAAACACAGAATCTGGTCATCATCATGTGAGCAATCATTCTCCTTTATTGATCTCTAGGATCGTGTATGGTTTTCTCTCCCTTTCTTTCTCCCTCTCTCGGTCTCTCACTTTCTTGCTCGCTCACTCTCTCTGGTCTATGGATTGCAATATACACACTGAAAGGTTATCATGTATATCCCTTTTCCTACTTTCAACACTCAGTTCTTGTCCAGAGTGACCCTATCTACCTATTCCTGTCACACTGGTCCTTCTCTGTCCTTCACCCCCCACACACTTGAAGCAAGCTTCCAACCCTTGACTAGTCATTAAGGCCTCTATATACTGGCAATTAATATTAATTTATTAGAAAAGTATAAATCCCATGGAAGAGTTCAATTATTCTATATCTATCCCTTTCCTTCTGAGACATTTGACTCAGCCTGAAATATCCAGGTCCATCCATTTATAAGCGAATTTCATGATTTTATTTTCCCTGGTGGCCACATAGTATTCCATTATGTAGATGTACTGTATTTCATCCAGTTGTCTCTTCGCAAACACTCTGTTTGTTTCATATTTGGCTATTGTGAATGCAATAGTGGAATGCAGTAAACATAGTCGTGCAAGTACATTTCTAAATTAGTGTTTTGAGTCCTTTGTGGTCAATACAAACAGTGGAACTTCTGAGTCATATGGAAGGTCAAGTCTACATATATTGGGAAGTATTCAAGATTTTTCCAAAGAGGCCTCTCCCTTTGATAAATTCCAACCAGCAGAGAATAAGGATTGCACTTCCCCAACATCTATGCCAACACAGAATGTTTTGGTTCTTTGTGATGTGTGCCCTTCTTCCTAATATGAGGTTATACCTCATTATTGTTTTAATTTGGATTCCTCTGATAAGAGCTGTGGAAAATTTGTTCATTCAATTATCTGCCTCAAAGTCTACTTTAAGGATGTTATCTGTTTAAAACTCCCATTATAGATGGGGTTGATTTTTTTCTTGATAAGTGCTTTATATATGTTTTATTAATCTTACATCAGATGAGGCATGGGCAGATATTTTCCCCCAGGTTTTTGTTTGTCTTTTGATTCTGACAATCATTCCATTTATATTTATTGGGTCATTTAAAAAAGAGTGAATCAGAACACAAAAAGCATGAAATGGGTGAAAACTTTGACTCCACGTTGATTCCAAAATTATTAGGTTACATGAGGGAAATTAAAACAAGAATACAGAGACCATATGTTTGAGGGCAGCCGAGAATAACTGCTTGTTGGCAACACAAAACGTTTTGTCACAGGCTGAACACAATCACAAACACAAAGTCACCTTGAATGTTGGATCACAAACAGCCAAGGGAGTCGGTGAATTCTCAGGTGGAACTGTGTTCAGGGTGGGTGAATCACTGCTGGTCCAGAGTCGGGACACACCTCACATATCTTCACAGAGCAGGGCCTCACTCAGCCTCTGTGCACACAGCGAAGTGCTAGGATGTGGTTCCTCTTTCCACAAGCACAAGTAAAACAAAATCACCTCTGGACTCCTCCCCACTGCCTCCTCAGAGAGTCACCCAGGCTCACCACTTCCCCATCCGACAAGATAAGCCTCGGATACTTTATGTGTCTCCTGGAAACCCAAAAGCATTAACTGGTGGAGATGATCACTATCGTGTTCACGGCAGCACCAAGTACAGTAGCCAAGATGCACACACAACACCCAACTGCAGCACTCAGTTCTGTGTTCCCTCATTCAGCTGTGGAGTCCGTTCTTTCTCTCCTTCAGTTCTGTTTGAGGGACAGTGATCATTGTTTCCTTCCTTCTCTCCCTGAGATTCCTGAGTCTCCCTGTCAGTGTTTCTGTCAGGTCAGAGAGCACTGAGAGAATTGATGCTCTCCGCACACCCACAGAGAATCGGATGTTCTGATGTTACCTAAATGCAGTCCACATTCATTAAACAATTGAATTGTTTTCATTGTTCCTGGTGCTCTGTGGGAGCTATGGGTGTAAGTGCTCTGTGGTCTGGGCACGTATTGAATGAAGTTCCTCACTCTACTTATCTAGGGCTGTGACTCTAGGAACTTCTGGCAGCCACAAAGCCTGTGGTATTTTCTCGGTGGGTCTGAGAGGGGCAGAGGTCGGGTGGCAGGAATAACTGTGGGTTCTGGTGCTGATGGGGCCTCACTGAGGCCTGTGACATTCCCCA